ACTAAGGCAGACCTGCAACTGGAGGAAGCTAAGAAGCGACGACCATCTAAGGACGGTGAGGAGAGTCTCTTCCTCATGGTAGATTCCTGCAGGGAGTCCTTGAGAAATAAAGGGGTGAAAGAACCTCAAATCTTTGCTGTTTCCAGCAAGGATCCTCAGCACTTTGATTTCCCCTCTCTACGGGAAACCTTGATGAGCGAGGTCTTGTGGAAGAAGATTCTTGCTGTCCTTTCTCCTGTTTTGGAAGGGAAGGCAAAAAAAATAAAGAAAAAGAGCTGGCTGCTCACCGTTCTCTCTGGATTTATAGCTGGGATCCCCGTCCCAGGAATTGCATTCTTAGGGGGCCTTGTCATCCTCATGATGTTTGCTTCCTGGTGCTGCCGTAAATTTGGTGTGGATGACCCATCTCTCTCCAAAGTTGCAGAGTTGATTAAAGTATTACTCCCAGATCTGAAATCAAAGATGACCTCCCAATCCAAAAAGAAAATGGTTTTACAGAAGCTGCCAGATTCCCTGGGATCTTCAGTGATGATTGCAGAATATATTTATTGGAATCGTTTCCCCATCATTGGCTGCATATTGTCGGTAGTAATTTCACTTATTTCCTCTTTCTTCACCCTGAATAAACTTCCGTCAGATGTTAAGAAAGATACCCAGAATGTTGTAATTACAGCTTTCAAACCGAAGAAGACAGAACCTGAAAACTCATAAATTATTATTGGCCCAACAATGTAAAAACAAAAAACCACCCAGCTTTCAAATCCTTGGATGCAGTTCCAAAAATTACTGCAAATTGAAGGGTGTTTTGGTTTTTTTTAGGAATAATGCATTTTTTTTAATGTGACAGATGTGGGGAAATTATTAAATCCATGACCAGACAGGAGTCCCATTAAATTTAGTTTTAATTTAACTTAATAGGCAAAATATAGTATTTTTCTTAAAAAACCCATCCAACTTATGTTTTGTAGCATGGGAGCCACTGTCAATCAAGGACCAAGTTCAATTCTTAGCTAGAACAAAATTTTGCAAAGCTGAAATTTGATTAGATGAAATATAGATTTGTATGATAGAAAACTCACAAAGTGCATAGTTATATTGCTTCCATCTTATCAGAAAAAAGAATTCCACAATCCTCCCCCCTCTTCAATTACATATAATATGGCCCTTTATCTCAACAAAACAGTATGAGAAGTGCATATGTGAATCTGATTGGTAAAACATATGATTTCTACTTTATTTTATTTATGCCCTTTATTTTATTTTCAAAGATAGGGTCTTATTACTGTTCATTTGTATTTTGCATTCTGATATTTGCCTAATGGTTAATCAATAAAGTAAATTCGTATTAGAGTTGGTTTCAAAGTCAGCCAGATGTTTAGACTGGATTTGCCATTTTTATCCTCCTATCAAGTTCCCCCCAAGGACTGAGAAAGGCGGGTATTGTTTGATGGTGTTAACATTATGTGATGTAAGCTGTTCCTAGTAAAGCTGCCTTTTGCAATTGACTGATGGGGATTGTGTCAATGCCAACAGTGTTCAAGTGGTCCTTCAGATGTTTTAGGATTGCACCTATAACTGCTGATACCAGCTTTGTAACAATCATTCTATTTATATTTGCAGGATTTTGTATTTTGTGATTTTTTCCCCCCAGTTTTTTTTATCTTCTGTTCTGCTGTTTCCAGGGATTGTCACATCCACTATACAGACTTTTTTATTTTTCTTATCAACATGTGCTAAGTCTGGCTTGTGATGTTTCAAGTGCTTGCCTATTTTAATTTTAAAGTTCAAGAGCACTCTTCGTTTTCTATTTCTGGATCGATTTAGTGATCCCATCGGTTCCTTCTTACAGGCAAATGGAAATTCTTGCAGATCTTCCATCACCACACCATCATTGCTACTTCGTCATGTCATTGTAAAAATTGTAATTGTGATAATGATTAATTAATAAAGTATTATTATCTATTCACAAGAATGTGGAATCACAGCTACCAGGTCTTTAGCTAGTGTGGGCCTTCAGTTATTATAGTTTGTTGCATAGTCAGCCATCTGTTTAAACTAGAGTTGTCATTTTTATCCAGCTATTGAGTCCTTCCCAAGGACTTGGGATAGGCAGATGTGTCGCTTGATGGCATTAAAGCTACTATTATCTTAGTATGTAAACTATTCCAAATAAAGCTGCCTTCTGCAATTGACTGATGGAGATTTGGTCAATGCCACTGGTGTTCAAGTGGTGCTCCAGTATTTATAGTTATTATTGTTATCCTCCTACATTCTGTGGATGAGAGGTAGCATATTAGGTCATGGAAAGGAAGGTAGTCCTCAACTTACTATCACAATTGAGCCCAACATTTATGTTGTTAAGTGTGAAATCTATTAAGTGAGTTTTGCCCTATTTTACGTATGTTCTTGCCACATTTGTTAAGTGAATCACTGCAGTTGTTAAATTAGCAGCATGGTTGTTAAGTAAATCTGGCTTCCCCCATTAACATTGCTTGTCCGAAGGATGTAAAAGGTGGTCATAAATGTGAGACAGTTATCGAGCATCCAAATGTAAATCACATGACCCTGAAGATGCTGCAGCGGTCGTAAGTGCAAAAAGCGATCATAAGTCCCTTTTTTTCAGTGATGTTGTAACTTTGAACCACCACGAAATGAACTGTTGCAAGTTGACGAATACCTCTACACGCATTTATTTTTTAATCATTGATTTTTAGGTGAAACCGGTCACAGAAAGGAATAAGCTCTGTTTTTTTTCCTGGCAGAGGGCTATCAAAGCAAACTAAAAACAAAACAAAAGGAGAAATGTTTCCCCTTTTGCATTTGAGTGTGCAAGAAGGACCAGGAAAGGAGAAAGGGAAAGAGGAAAAGAGAAAAAAAAAGAAGGGAAGATGGGAAGAGAGCAAGGAAGGAAAAAGAAGGAAAGAGGGGAAGGAAGAAGGAAGGAGAAGGAAGAGGGAAGGAAAAAGAAGGAAGGAAGGAAGGAAGGAAGGAAGGAAGGAAGGAAGGAAGGAAGGAAGGAAGGAAGGAAGATTATAATGAGAGTGTGGGAGGGTCAGAGGGGAAGTCCTGCCTTAGCACTTGTCCACCACAGGTGCCCGCGACACAAGTGGTATCCAGCTGGCCCTGCCGCCACATTCCCCCCCCCCAGGTCAAAAACAACCCTGATGTGGCCCTAATTAAATCGAGTTTGACACCCTTGCTTCAGTTGCTCTGCATGGCTACTGTCCCCTTGATTTTCTACTCCCTATTTCACCATTATTCTATCTCTTCCATAATAAACTCATCCTTCTTTAGCTCTGCTCTGCTCACCCAGCAAAGCCTACAAACAGGCTGTCAGCTCTGGAAACCATATTAGTATCAGACGCTTCCACGCTGCCGCATTCTTGAGCCTGGGAAAATGGGAGAGGGGGATTTATTGGAGCGTACGTGGTTAGACATAATAGCATTCTTCTTCTAAGTCAAGGTCATGTTATTTCTGCACCTGGGTGAGGGGACATCTCAAGTTGGGACGGATGGTGATTGGGGCACACCCACCATGCCATGCCCACAGAGCCAGCAGTAAAGCAGGTAGCTGGTAGGTAGGTAGCCGATAGATAGATAGATAGATAGATAGATAGATAGATAGATAGATAGATAGATAGATAGATAGATAGATAGATCAGAGGTGGTATTCAGCAGGTTCTGACCAGTTCTGGAGAATCAGTAGTGGAAATTATGAGTAGTTCGGAGAACCAGCAAATCCCGCCTCTGACTGGCCCTGCCCCATCTATTCTCTGCCTCCCAAGTCCCAGCTGATTGGCTGGGTCTTTCTTTTGTTGTCCTGCACAGGAGAACGGAGCTGGAAAGCAGGTTAGTGGAGTGGGGAGGAAATGGGGATTTTACAGTATATCCTTCCCCTGCCCTGCCCACCAAGCCATGCCCACAGAACCAGAAGTAAAACATTTTGAATCCCATCACTGGTGTGGTCTAGTCGGCCTCCTGCACCACGGCCTGGGGGGGGGCGTTTTTGCCCTCCCCGGGCTCCGGAGGCTTTCCTCGAGCCTCCAGGAGGTTGAAAACGGCCTCCGCAGGCTCCGGAGGCTCTCTGGAAGCTGGAAACTTCTGGCCTTCCCAAACTTCCTGGAGGCCCGTTTTTCACCTTCCCTGAGCCTCCACATGCACGCTGCACTTACTTGCATCCAAAACGGGCTGGGGGGGGACTCGGGGGGGGGGGGGGCAGCCATGATTGGGATTTGGGGGTTCTCTGAACTGCACAGAATCTTAGCTAGGGGCCTCCATAACTGAGCATTAATCATTCTATACACAAAATGGTTGCCAGTAAACACAATCCACCGGATAATTTTCTTGCGCGCATTCCAACAATAGAAGGAAGCCTCTTTCAGATACAGTGTCGTGTTCCTGGAACAGGTCCCAAAGCTATTTATTAGATCACGGAAAGTCTCAACCGATAAGTTCGTTTAGAAACTTATTTATTTATTTATTTATTTATTTATTTATTTGATTTGATTTGATTTGTCAATTGTTTACAAGATAATAGTATAAGTATGTACGTAGTTATGAATACATGAAATGGATACATATAAGAAAAATAAAAGAAACAATAGGACAGGGACGGTAGGCACGGTTGGTGCGCTTATGTACAGACCTCTTAGGAAAGGGGTGAGGTCAATAAGGTGCCACATCATCATTTAAATAAATTGGAAACTGAAAGAAAGGCCTTGAGGTGGTCACTTTCTCCCTCCCTCTTTCTCCCTCTCTCCCTCTCTCTGTTTTTCCTCTCTCCTTTGTCCCCCCCCCCCCCGTCTCCCTCCCTCTCTCCCCCTTTGTTTTTCTTTGTTCTCCCTCTCTCTCTCTCTCTCTCTTTTCCCTCCCTCTCTCCTCTGTCCCCTCTTTCTTTCTCTTTTTCCTCTCTTCTTCGTTCTCTTAGCTCTCTGACCTCTCCTTCCCTCCCTTCCTCCTTCTTCCACCCCAGCTTTCGTGCCAACCGTAGAAAAGCCTTTTCGGCAGGAGACTCGCCTGGCCTTCCCACGAACGAGTTCCTTCCAGGAGAGGGCAGCCGCGCCGCCGCGTAAATAAAACTCCGGAGCCAATTCAGACGAGCAAGTCAGAAGCAGGAAGCGCCCGCTCGAAAGCGGCAGCGACGAGAAAGCGCTTCGGCTCCCGAGTTCTCCGGCCACAGGTAAAGTCAGTCCGGAGGCGGTGGCGGGGAGAGCGCATCCCGGCAGCCTCCGCCGCCCCTCGATCTCCTCTCCAACCCGCCCCCCTCCCCCCCCCCACACACACACACCCCGGGGCTTTAGTCAAAGTTACGGGACAGGACGGCTGTTTGCCCATGTTGGCTTATTATTCGGAGCATCTCTGCCGCTCCAGGGACAAAGGTTCCCCGGCCTTGTTGAAGCTGTAAAAGTGACAAGCACACAAAACACCCTGTCCAGATTCCAAAAGGGCGCCCCGGGTGCCCAAAGGACCAGGGAGCTCCCACTCCGGCGATCAAGTTTAGAGGAAGGAGAGAGAAAAGGGAGGAGGGGGGAAATGTAACGGGATGGGACCATAGAAAACGGAGGCAGATGGGGACAAATGTTGCAAGATTAAAAGAGAAGCAAGCCGCCTTGGGGCAGAGAATGGGAGCGGGGTGGGAAGGAAAACAGCCTTTATTATTCTGCTTTTGGCTCAGCAGCTCAAACGTAGTCTTTTCCTCCTTCTCCGTTTTTCTACAACAACCCTGCGAGGGAGGTTGGAGAGAGAGAGAGAGAGAGAGAATTAGAACTTAGAATAACTTTATTGTCCCTAGGGAAAACTCCAAATACCCCTAACGAAGAATTGATAATACATAAAGTAACGGAAAATGCTGAGATGAACATGTTAACATGAAAGAAAAAGATGACTGAATTCTTTTTAATTTGGAACAATTAGTATAAATGGTTAACAAACAGAACTAAGAAGTGAGACAAGAAACCTAACTGGAGTAATCCTTAAGAGAGTAAAATATAAATTTGTAAATTATACAAAGATATAAGGATAGTAATTATAGTTGAAGTTATCAGTGAATATTAGACAAATGTAATATAATGTATTGTGATGTTTAAAACAAGAACTTGTATGGGTGTCAAGAATGCTGTCAAAACCATGATGTTTTATGATGTAATAAAAGAAACTCAATAAAAATATATATTTTTAAAAAAGAATAACTGTATTGTCATTTTAAAATGTACACTAATTGGCATATATTAAAATGAAATTTCATTGCATACAGCTCTCAAAGGGCCATTACCTCCAATATACACTGCAGAAACATGACAAAAATATAAACGAAGAAAACATCATGCATATACCCAGACCCACATATGTTATATGACACAGAGAAACAACATAGTCTCGTTCGGATGTATGAGGTAAAATAACTTCTGAGATACCAAAGGAAGCAGAATTCAATGGAAAGAGCCCGCAGACGTTTAACTAACAAAGTTTTCGTAGTTATCCCGGTTATCAACTAAATCAAATAATGTAAGACTTAGCGTGGCATGTGAACTCAGTTGAAGGAACTTTGCTGGGTTGCTAAATAAATTCATTTCTGTTGACAAAGATGTTGAGACTCTAGAACAGGGGTCTTCAAATTTGACAGCTTTAAGACTTGTGGACTTCAACTCCCAGAATTCCTCCTCCAGTCATGTTAGCTCAGGAATTCTGGGAGTTCAAGTCCACAAGTCTTAAACTTGCCAAGTTTGAAGACCCTTGCTCTAGAAAGAGTGCAGAGAAGAGCAACAAAGATGATTAGGGGACTGGATTAGAGGCTAACATATGGTTGCAGGAACTGGGTATGTCTAGTCTAATGAAAAGAAGGGCTAGGAGAGACATTTATTTATTTGATTTGCCAATTGTTTACAAGATAATAAGTATAAGTGTATACATAGTTGTGAATACATGAAATGGGTACATATAAGAAAAATAAAAGAAGAATAAGAGAAACAATAGGACAGGGACGGTAGGCACGTTGGTGCGCTTATGCACGCCCCCTACAGACCTCTTAGGAAAGGGGTGAGGTCAATAGTAGACAGTCTAAGGTTAAAGTTTTTGGGGTTTGGGGAAGAAACTACAGAGTCGGGTAGAGTATTCCAGACATTGACCACTCTATTGCTGAAGTCATATTTCCTGCAATCAAGTTTGGTGCGGTTAACATTGAGTTTGTATCTATTGTGTGCTCTTGTGTTGTTATGGTTGAAGCTGAAGTATTCATTGACAGGTAGGACATTGCAATGTATGATTTTATATACCATGCTTAAATCAGACCGAAGACGGCGTAATTCAAGGTTTTCTAGTTCTAGAATTTCAAGTCTGGTGGCATAAGGTATTCTACAGTGAGTGGAGGAGTGGAGAACTCTTCTTGTGAAATATTTCTGGACTTTCTCAATTGTGCTAATATCAGATATGTAATGTGGGTTCCAGACTGATGAACTGTATTCGAGTATTGGTCTAGCAAATGTTTTGTATGCTCTGGTTAGTAGTGTGATATTACCAGAGAAAAAGCTACGTAGGATTAGGTTAACAACTCTTAATGCCTTTTTGGCTATGTAGTTGCAGTGGGCTCTAGCACTTAGATCATTAGAGGTGAGTATTCCAAGGTCCTTTACAGAGCTTGGGTCATCAACAAGATCTTGACTATTCAGCTTGTATTTTATTTTCTGATTTTTTTTGCCAATATGTAAAACAGAGCATTTATTTGTTGAGATTTGAAGTTGCCATTTGTTTGACCATTCTGATACATAGTCGAGATCTTTTTGTAGGGTAGCAGTATTGTCTGTGGTATTGAACAGCTTTACATCATCAGCGAAAAGAACGCAATTGCTCTTAATATGATCGCAGAGGTCATTTATCATAGCAGTCTTCCAATATCTCAGGGGCTGCCACAAAGAAGAGGGAGTCAAGCTATTCTCCAAAGCACTTCAAGGCAGAAGAAGCAACAGGTGGAAACTAATCAAGGAGGGAAGCAATTTAGAACTAAGGAGAAATTTCCTGACAGTTGGACCAATTAATCAGTGGAGCAACTTGCCTCCAGAAGTTGCCTCACCCGGTGTATAATATTGTCCTTCTTTCCTCTTCTTTTCTCCTAGGCTTGGCTATGGCAATGCAGGATCAATTCATACCATCAAATGAGGAGGAGGATATTTTCAAAGACTATGATGTCATCACCAATGAAGATATTGAACAGATTAAGGATGCTCTTGAAGAAGGGAGAATGGACAAAGCCATTTCCAAGATTATGGAAAACCTTCAAGCCCTGGAGGACATCTGTTTGAACATAGCAGTAACGGGAGAATCCGGCTCAGGGAAGTCCTCCTTCGTCAATGCCATCCGAGGGCTAGGAGATGAGGAAACTGGTTCTGCTCCCACTGGAGTAGTGGAGACCACAGAGAAGCCCACACCTTACCCACATCCCAAGCACCCCAATGTCACCCTGTGGGATCTACCTGGAATTGGTACACCAACATTCCGCGCCAGCACTTACTTGAAGCAGGTTCAATTCTCCCGCTATGACTTCTTCATCCTCATTGCCTCAGAACGCTTCAAGGCCAGCCACGTCCAGCTGGCACAGGAAATCTGTCACCTGGGGAAACAATTCTATTTTGTGCGCTCCAAAGTGGATTTAGAGCTGGAGGCCAGCAGAAAACGACGACCACAAACTTACAATGAGGAGGCGATACTGGGACAGATGCGAGAAAACTGCCAGAAGTGCTTAAGGGCTGAGAATATGCACAATTCCAGAGTGTTCCTTCTCTCCAACTGGGAGATAAAGAAATATGACTTCGAGATGCTGGAGGAAACCTTGGAGAAGGAATTGCCAAGCCATAAGAGACATGCTTTTCTCCTGGCCCTGCCAAACATCTCTCTAGCCATCCTGCAGAAAAAGAAGTTGGCTTTACAGAGAGAGATCTGGAAGCTGTCTATTGTCTCCGCTGGAGCGGCTGCTATCCCTATTCCAGGCGTTGGGGTAATCTGTGATGTAACCATCCTGATCAAATACCTCACAAAATACCGCAACAGTTTTGGTCTGGATGAGGAATCTCTTGCCAGGTTGGCTAAGAAGGCCAACAAACCCGTGGAGGAGATCAAAGAGGTAATAAAGTCACCGCTAGCTAAAGAGATCTCCAGAGATTTAGTTCTGAAGCTGCTCACCAAAGCTGGTGGTGGGGCACTCATGTTTATGGAGTACTTCGTCAGCACAATACCCATCTTTGGTTCCGTGGCAGCTGGAGGGATCTCATTTGGCACCACCTACTACATGCTCAAGAGCTGCCTGGATGAGGTGTCCCACGATGCCCAAAGTGTTTTCATCAAGGCTTATGAATCTGAGGTCTGAAGGAATTTAGATTGGGAATGATTGGGAGTGATTAGGAACAGATTGGGAATGAGCGCGCAATTAACATTAGGTGTACAGAATCAAACGTTGTTGTTTTCACAAGCCCATAACTAAATTCACCAGCTGGAAGAGGGGGAAAAAAACATGAAGCATAAAATGTGGCCTTTTGCAATAATTTTTTATGGTAGTTGAGCAGTGAGCTACTTTATTTCCATTTATTGCAAAATATAGCGAGTATGGCGGATTCCAGGATATTATGTCATCGCTGTAAAACTATGTTTCCCAGTGTTCTTCAGGGAAAGACAAATAAGGATGAAGTTGGTATTTGTAAAGCCCAAATTGCCCTGTATTTAGGATTTCCTATATTTGACACATTCAATAACTGATCAAACCGTCAAAGCTGACACCAGACAGAGCATAGAAAAGCTCAAAAGTACTGCAAGATCTGGCCCATAGAATCATCAAGGTTTGGATACCATTGAATGGATAGCATCATCTTCATTTTCATCAATCAAAGACCTCCTTGCAATGATCTGCTTTTTAAATTGTAAGTTAGGACTTCCTTATTGTGCTGGTTCATTTTAATTGAAGCGGAGTAATTTGTCAAATTGCAGATTGGTACCAATAATGAATGTTTTGAGATTTCCTGAAGATCTGGATGGCCCCGGGTTGAAATAATTGTTTCAAGAGTAAATAGTGAATTTTAATACTTCTCTCTGTTGTTCAACAATAAAGCCACAAGCCGTCAAGGAACAGGCCTTCTACTTGAGGAGGAGGCTGGATTAGAAGACCTCCAACTCTTGTTATTCTAGTGTTGTGGTGGCACAGTGTTTGGAATGCAGTACTGCAGGCTACTTCTGCTGATTGCCGGCTGCCTGCAATTTGGCAGTTCGAATCCCACCAGGCTCAAGGTTGACTCAGCCTTCCATCCTTCCGAGGTTGGTAAAATGAGGACCCAGATTGTTGGGGGCAAAAGGCCAACTCTGTAAACCGCTTAGAGAGGGCTGTAAAAGCGGTATATACGTCTAAGTGCTATTGCTATTCTCTGGAGAAGAAGTTTAACACTGGGAAAGAATGAAAGAAAGAGGTCATCACTGAGGTGGATAGATTCAGTTACAGAGGCAAGGAGCGCACTTTTTAGGCAGACTGAAAAGATCAGACTGAGGACAGATCATCATAGAGAAAATCTGTGTGACTGCTTGGAGTCAATGACTTCAGCGTACTTAATAATTCAGTTATTCTTGACTTTTTCTTCTATGTTGATACATGCTGTTCAGTCACATTTTTGTGTTGGGTGAATGAGTAAAAACATTTTTGTGTGAATGGAGCAGCTAGAAGCTTTTGTGAATGAACCTGTAGAATGACAATGGATCATTCAAAAGTTGCTCTTTTGCAGCAACAATTTGATCTACTTAAAAAAATCCACCAAGAAAACTGCAAAATTGTTGCTGTTAAATTTCTGATGGGTCTATGTCATGCCTTATATATAAAAATCCTGGCTCTTCCATTTTTTCATTTCTGACTTACTTTCCCATTCCCTGTTGAACATCTCATCTCAGGAATAGATGCAAGTGCTGTGATACTTTATGTAACTTTGGTTGCCTTGTGATTCACATCTTTATGAAATAAAATCAGGTCCAAAACTCTTTAAAAAAACCAGTTGCTCTTTCACTTCTAATATGAGCAAGGCCTGGCTAGCCACCTGCAGACACACCATGGAGAGCACATAACCCGTCAGATGTCAAGGTCCTCTTCAAACACAATGGATGAACATCAATATGAGCAAGTTGGTTTATTTACTTTTTTATTCCCAGGAAGGTTTTCTTTTTTTTAACTTTACACAGTTTTTAACAAAGGAAGTTTGAATGAAAAGAAAATTCCTGGTTGTTGTTTTTTCACTTCCTGCAATTGTATTCCAAAGATGTCTAGGGAGATTTTCAATTATCCATGGTTTTCCCAAAGGTGCTTTTTGCAAAGGGCAACTGGACTTTGTTTTTTTCCCTTTGAAACTCACTTCTCATCCAAGAAACCTCCTTCTGAACTTCTTGGATGAGACATGAAATGTTTTCAAAGGAAAAAAACCAAGAAAGTCCAGCTGCCTTTTGGAAAAAGAATTTCTGGGGCACCCCAAAGATACTAAGTCAGAAACATTACAAATAAAAATATTAGTTCCTTGCCAAAAATAAGACCCTTTAAAAAACTTTTACATCAATTTATTTGGATACTGTGACAAATTTGAATGTGCATGTTATGTATTAGGATTCTGCCACTCTTCAGATGCGAAGCAATACTGGATGAAACTCACAATACTGTCTAAAACTGGAGAGCAAACACTATATTAGAAACATAGGAGGTGAGGTTTTGATCCATAGATTTCAATTCAAAGCCATTCAATCAAGTCCATTTTGGATTGATGATTCAAGTTAAACTGAACTGAATCGACTTAAAGATCTGTTCAAAGTCAAACTGATTTTTGAAAGTGAATTGAAGACCCTAATTCAATAAATTCTTATCTTCAATCTGTATTGGACTAAATTGTTCAAACCGGAGCCAATTTGCTAGCCAAAATTGAAGGCAAAAAGAATCCAATTGCAAATTAAAAAATGAGAAGACCCTGCTATAATACTTTTCTAGATACCTCTCGTCCCACATATAAAAACGACTGTGAAAACTGCCGCATCTTTAGAATGACACTCCTCCAATACTTGCAAAGTGCAGATGATCACACAACAGTGATTTATTTTGTGTGTCTGTGTGTGTCAAAACATCCATCAAAATGGAAGCAACTTCAACAGTTTATTAAACAAGAATAACCATCCGTGCAAAAAAGAAGTCTGTCCAGTTTGCATCAGGGGACCAGGAAAAATAGGGCCAAACAGGCAGAAGGGACACAGGTTGGAATAGAGAGATAAGAAGGCAAGATACATGCCCCGCAAAATGAAAGCTTTTATGAAGTAGGGTGGAAACCCTGCGAATAAACAAACAACACTAATTCCCCACTGATCTTTGGCCTCACCTGCTATTGCAATGCAGAGGAGTTTCATTGTCCCCCTCCCATCAGGAGACTGCAGATTTGAACCCTCCCTTGTTCAAGACCCAGCAGCTCTGGAATTAGTATAGGAGCAGCTCTCCCATCTAGGCCAGACCCCAAGGGACAAGATCCGTTTTGAACAAGATGGTCCTTTAGGGATGGCAAAGCCAATCTTGCATTTTTCCTCTTCAATCTTCCGGGACCACCGAAGGAGTTGCACCTCCCTTCTCCGGGAGACATAGCGTCCTGGGCCTCGGCATGATGGGGCAGATACCCTGGTCTGCTCCAGCTCAGGGATGGCAATGCCTCTCAGCAGTTCCAGTATGGAGACACGGTGCTCACGCCAGCAGCCGGCTATACTCAGAGAGAGCAGAGGACTTCTTGACGCCATCCCAGATGCGCGCTGCATAGTGGAACCTGGGGGGGGAATATCAGGACTCAGGTCAATGTGTACTAGGTGAAAGTTCTCCATTATGGAAAGTTCTCCATCCCTGGCAAAGGCTATGGTGTCTGATACAAGAGGTCTGGAGCACGCCAATTAGCTTCCTCCTCCATGTTGTGGCCCGCCAGCGGAGCTGGTGGCAGACTCGGACAGTGAGAGACTGGGGAGGAACATGGGCCAGTCCTGGAGTCTGGGGAAGGCTCTGACAAGGGCTCTGCATCGGAGGCAGAGAGTGGGCCAGGGCCGTCTGACAGTTATCAGCTGCCTTCAGAGTCAGACATCAGTCAGGCCGAAGAACAGCTGGAGCCTGTTCCCAGTGTGCGCATGCGCAGAGCTGCCAGGAGAAGGGAACAGTTAAGGAACAAGGGTTGACTCAGGAGTAAAGGCTCAGGTGGACGGTGAATGTCATAGGGAAAAAAGAGGAGTGAAAGGGGAGCGGTGTTTGCAGGAGACAATTAGTTCGTTTAATTAGGGTGAAGATTTGTTCCTGACTCCTTGCCAAGTATTTTTTGTTACAGCATGGCACTTTGAAGCTATCGGCCTGGCAACTCTGCAAGCCTGATAAGGTCTGTGATTGTAAATCACTCTTAAGAGACTGTTTGCCAGGACTTTGCTGGATGTGAATGAGAGGAATTCACATTAGCTTAAATAATGTCAGGACGAGGAGTCTGCTTCGTGATTTTGTGAAGCCTAGGTCAGAACACTCCAAGGTGTGAGACGGAGGATCTGATCTAGGATGTCTTGGCTGCCACAAGTCCCACCGGCCTTAGCTGCAGTTAAACACAGGCTTACCAGTTCTTTTCTGTCAGGATCGTATGGGAGAGCTGAGGCCGGGACATGGACATCATCTGGCTCCGAAGCTTGGCAATGAGAGACTGGAAGCTGGGGTGTCCTTTGTATCCAGGAAGGAGGGAGAAGAGAGGGCCGCTGCCCGGGGCTGTAAAGTTAAATGGAAGATGGGGTGTTTACTCCCTTTTTTGGCAAGGCCAACAAGTCCCAAAAAGACTGTGAACAATCCCACAGGAACATGGAAGCCAACGGCTACCATCCCCCACATCTTCAGCAAGTTTATTTCTTTTCTTAGGATCTGAAAATTGAATCCCTGCCCAATTCCATATTCAAACAAATGGAAGCCCAAAAATTCTATGAACTTATTGGGACAGAACTATACAACTCATGATATTGAGCAGAAATCTGTCAGGGAGAAAAAAAAAAAACTTTGTCTTTTCCTCCCTGTTTCTCATTAAAATTATCTATTAAGCACTCCTTAGTAAAATGCAAAGCTCAGATCAGATTTTCTTTGTTTTGGAGAGAAACAGCATGCTGTATTAAAATATATACGTGTGGAGGAAAAAAAACCCAAAAGCAGGAAATGGTAGCATCCCCTCTCTATTTTCTGCCTCAAACAACCGATACAAAATTCCATAATGAAAGCAACTGCTGTTCCAAGTCAGGTTATTCTAATTAAGTGAGTATCTTAAATTCAGGTTTATCATCTTTATGTATGGGGAAGTGTTCAAAACATTTCAAGGTATTCCAAAACCAGAAGGCCTGGTTCACAGTGGACCCTGAAGTGATCTGACTCCAGAATGTGGCTGTTTTCCAGCCGGAATGGTTTTCAGTCTTGAAATGTTTTGCACGTTTGCTCTATCTGGATGTTTTATTTGGAGAGGATCTGGTCTGGAAGAAGGAAACAGAGGAGCTTTGTATTCTGACCTAAGGACAAGAAAAGGCCGGGAAGTGAATTCTCGGGACTCACTTGCTCTGGGCAGCACGTCATCTGTTTCAGAATCCATGAAGGGCAGTAAGAACAGGTTGACCTCTGTGTCCAGGTAGCTCTGTGGCAGGCCAGGGAATATGTTACAATCGAGCATGGAAAGGGTACCTATTAGGGGGGAAAAAAATATGGAACTTATAAGTTTTCCTGTCTTTTGCCAGGCTGAGCCTTCCAGGAAAAAGTGAATCCAAGTTTCTATTAGTGAGTGAATATATTTTTCTCTCTCTTTTGTGGGGGGTGGGGCGTGGGTACCAATTCCCTGAAAATGCATACAGCTCCTCAGAAGGTGAGTCTGTTGAATGGACATTTCCTTTGAGTGGGCATCTTCACCCTCCAAAGTTAATCCACTAGCTGACCGATTCTATACAGGAGAACCTCTGGTCATGAATGCTTCTGACTACGACCAAAAAAATCCACAGAATTTTTGAATCTGGTCATGAACACCTACTCAGGTGGTGATCAAACATGACCGACCCCTGACCCAAAATTCCTGAAGATGAAACATTCGAAGACAAAGAAACCACCAAAGTTATGGAACAAATTATGGTCCTGACCAGAGGTTCTACTGTACATCATCTAGTGCAGGAGTGTCCAACCTTGGCAAGTTTAAGACTTGTGGACTTCAACTCCCAGAATTCCTCAGCCAGCTTTGCTGGGAGTTGAAGTCCACAAGTCTTAAACTTGCCAAGGTTGGACACCCCTGATCTAGTGGAACAGCATCTGAGCATCGAATGACAGCCAGGAACAGCGTTGGTCATCAGTTAGGAGACCTAGTTAGTTCCTCCACCTTCTGGTTCCCAGGTTCCCTCTACATTTGATCCCGCACACCAATCTGGACGGCCTTGAATTTCCCCTGCTGTCTCCCGTCCCACAATTCTGCCAGAAAACACATACTCCGGAACAGCCTCCGAATCAAAAGTATATGCTCCAAATCCACGCCAATAATGCTTTGATCCAAACACAGCCCTTCCAATACTGGTTGGTCCTTTCATGAAATGTTTTGCACATCTTTTGTAAAAGATCCGTATTGCCCAAGTCTATCTTAAAAACCATACTTAAGAAAGTCAGCACTGTTTGCCTACTTAATTTTCTGCGAGACAGTTTTCAGACACAAGAAGATTTCATACTGGATGAATTCCTCCAGAGCCCATGGCAGCATCTCATATTCCTCACATCAGTTATCAGTTTGTCCACTACCCGTTTGAATTGCATTCCCAGTCAAGAACTGTAGTCCAGTCCTCCAAGTGAATTGGAAAGCAGGTCCTTACCTTTGTATTTCAGATGTGAATGCATCATAATCTTGTCAATAACAAGATGCATCTGTTTCAGGTTCCGAGGGCAGAAGTTTTCTCTCTTGGCTTTGTTTTGGAGAAAAACTAGAGATTGGGGGGGGGGGGGGGGGGGGGGGGGGGGAGAATGATCAAGAATCATGAGTTCTTGTTCTCTTGTTCTCATATTTGAAGCAAGTATGCAACCTTCCATGTGTACAGGAAGATTCTGTATGATGACAGAATCTAGAAATCTGCAAGCAAAGAAGTTTAATTCTCGTGCAAGAAGAAAGGAAAAAAAATATATGGAAAGCAACTAGAAAGGGATAGCACTTAGACATATACTGCTTCATAGTGCTTTACAGCCCCCTCTAAACGGTTTACAGAGTCAGGATATGCCCCCCAACAATCTAGGCTCTCATTTTACTGGCCTCGGAAGGATGGAAGGCTTGAGCTGGTGAGACTTGAACTGCCGAACTACTGGCGGTTGGCTGTCAGCAGAATTAGCCTGCAGTACCCCATTCTAACCACTGCGCCACCAGATGTCACAAGTGTCAGGCCCCAAGAATCAAGAAAGACAATAAGGAATTAATTCTAAGCGGTTTCCTTTATTGTTCCTCATCTTTACAGAGAAACCTGCAAACAAATGTAATTGCAGCATTAAATATATACTCCTAAGAATGTCCAGGGAAGAGCTGTCTTGATCAGGGATCCACGGCCCTTTGGGAACCGGGCCCCACAAGTGGCAGGCGAGCACGCAAAGGTTCATTTGCACAAGCGGCAAATACAAGCACGAAACTATCCCCCACCCCCGTTACCGCCACTGCTGCCAGTCCATAGAGCCGGATAGATGGGGGATTGCTGATCTTCACTCTCTTCCTCCCAGTTAAGCTATCTATACTTAGTAGCCTCTTGGCCCTCTGTATTACAGCCCCTTCCTCCTGGGAATCCAGACTACATTCCACCGCACACACAGGAGGGCACTATAAAGAAGGACTTGTGGTGATGCCCTTCTGTTTGGCCTCTCCTAGTCCCACCCTTCTTCACAATTTTCTACTTTAGCCACCCGCCACTTCCTGCCTCCCAGCCCAACTCCTCTTCGTTTGGAGACAGGACAATTACAGAGGGAAAAGCTTCTATTCTTCCATACCAATGTGTGGATAGTATTCGGTCCCCTCATCGGAGCCAGAAGAGCTGCTGGACTCATGGCTGGGAGACGGAGTGGAGGGCTTTACCATTTCAGCAGTCTGGAGGAACCTGCAATGGAGAAGAAAACCCTTCAACTCGTAGTAATCTTCCACCATAAGAGGAAAGACGGCAGGATTCTTCTGTTACACTTTTCTAATTTTGTTACTACAAAAATATCTCACAATGTTAATCTTGTCAGGAAAATTTAAAGAGGGAAGACAGATTTAAAGATGAGATATAAAAATTGAGGGTGGAAGGGGTCACACTGATTTAACCACATATATAGCAATCATCCAGGAAGCATATCCCATTGGTTTCTGTCTACTAGTTGGCATTAAAGTGATTGGTTACGTTTCCTCAAAGATCTAGAAATAGAACTAAACTAAAACAGTTATACATATATCAAGCTATTCAAAATTTAGTCGTCTTTGCCATTATCAAGAGATTCCCCAAATACCTACATTCAGAGAATTAATATTTAGTGACATCTATAGATAAGATTTGAGAATTCAAGTTTTGGTTTAAAAGAATAGGTTGTATACCCACTTCTTGCCTTAAGCAGCAGGAAATGGATTATTAGAAGACTCTGGACTTAAGCAGTTGACTATAGTTCTTTGTTCACAATAGGGTTCATTCCAACCCACCTCTCACCTGTATAGGCTCAAGTCAGTAAACCAGTCTTGCACCACAATCACCACATGGCAGACGGTGAAGAGGAAGGCAGCGATCTGAAGGGACTAGAAAGAAAGAAGCTTCAAGTAAATGAGCAGAAAGGCTGGAAAGGGCCCCTGGGTGCATGCCAAGAATCATGGCCAAATTCTTGGTCTGGAACTGCGTTCACAAGAACAAAAGATCTGTTTCCTGAACTGATGACATCATGATAATCACTTTTAAGAATGGTGAATTGACTGAAGGTGCAGTCCAACTGAGATATAAGTTACAAGGAAGGAAAACTGCAAGAAGACTAAGATAACTAATGTAAGGAAGGAAGGAGCACAGGATTATGACATGGCCAAAGATGGAAGAGTAGAAATTCTCACAATGTCAGAATTAGTGGAAATTACAAAACTAACCAACTTGGACAGAAAGAAAACAAAGTGCTTTGTTTAAAAGATTGGAAGACTTTTAGGGAATTTTTGTTTTTGTTTTTTAAAAAGTGAAATGATTTATAGATTTAATTGCTGAAACAGATGAGAATTAAATAAGGGGCTAAAGAATTTCTGGAAGTTAAGAAGGAGGGGAAACAATAGGTTTAATAACATCTGTTGGAAAGAAGGTTGGAAACAATTAACATTTCAAAACTTTAGAGTTATATCCTTTTGCTTTTTTTTTCTTACACAGTTTTCTCCCCCCCCCCCTTTGTTTTCTTAAGAAATGCTTTTCACTTTATATAAAATCCCCAAGAAACATAAATAAATAATAAAAAGGAAATGAAGAAGATGGATTTATTGTCCCCGTGTTTTCCAACATTCAGATTCCTTCAGCAACGAACATATGCGGACCAGAGCCCTCACCATTAACCCATTCCTACAGCTACCTGTCCTGTGCTCTACAAAAGATAAAATGGACCATTACCTGCATCTCAACATAAGTATGGGGTAGATTGTACTCTGGAGGCAGCTTGCGGTCATTATTGATCAGGTGATCTAGGATGGAGGGACTGAGAATGGGCTACAAAAAAAAAGGAGAAGGAAAACAATTGGGAGTTTTTAGCTATCATTCCTTAGCCAGAGTAACCCACGTCCTGCCCTTGGTTCTCAACAAAAGCTAATCATCCCTCTGGAGAAAACTGAATGGAGGACGAGGGTCCTGAATACACTTGTGTAACTAATTGATATTGTTTGTGTAACCAGCTCTTGGAAGCAGCATTTATACTGAACAAATAAAAAGAGCACCAGTTTGGTCTTGTGGTAAAGGCAGCAGACTGGAAACCGGGAGATTGGGAGCTAAACCAGATCACGGAAATATCACAACATCACCGACCTGAGTATCAAGGAAGATGATTCGCTCCTGGGTAATAAAGAAATCGATTCCACTAGTCTGGTTGCCCCCACGTTCTTTGATTTCTTGGCTCTGAGTGCGAAACACGTATGTCCTACAAAAGGGGGAAAAAACATTCATGGAAAAACGAAGGAGGGCTGACAATCTATTATGGGATAAACTTCAGGGAATACATTGAATTGCTGAACCAGTCTGGTGCAACACCATGTTCAAATGTTTAAAGAGCAAAGTGGCAGGGTCTAGAGTTCAGGGTCTCTGGGAGAGGAGGAAAGCAGCTGCGCCAGCTGAAAATAATAACTTACATATTTAAAACAGGAATATTCAAACAGCAAGGAAGCTGGATGGAAATTTCCGAACTAGTAATGGATACTGGCACTGTTAATATCCATATATTCTCAACATGGTGTGGTAGAAATGATTACAATTAAGGAATCTGCCAACAGTTTGGAACATCAGAGAGACAGAATTATAGCTTTATCAAGTAACAGCAAAGGCAGAAAAAGAAAGGCAGTATGTTCCGTGGATTTACAAATCTTCACGAACTGTGCATGCGTTAGATCTGATCAATGCAATGGAAAGACAAATCAATATTATTTCATGAGATCAAATTTTAACAATGTGTTTAAAAACTAAGCTGAATTGTTTCCTGTAACTATCGTTCTATGTTTTTCCTGGTTCCTTTTGTTCTGTTATGCTACACTAAAGCAAGAAAAAAACTTCCAAACTTAACCCCCATTAATGAATTAAGAGCCCCATAACAATCTTCATTTTCAAAGCTCATTGTCAAAGCTCTTTGATCAATCTGGTATCCAATGGCAAGGCAGTTCCTCTTCCTAATGCCCACCTACCTCTGATCTTCTTCAGGTTGATTGGCTGATAGCAGTGACATCACCATGGACTTCCCAGTACCTTGCAGTCCTAATACCCCAACTACAAGCAGATCTGTTTGGTCCAGGAGGTACTAATATAAGAGAGAGAGAAATGAAATGGGGAACAATTGTAAGCATAATACCTCATAAAGCTATGATGGCAGTTTAATATGTATTATCTACATTAAAACAAAATATAACCCATTTATATTGGCTAATAATGATGGAACTTATCAATCTATTATTTGTTTGTTCACACCCTTTTTAATCTTGTTCTTCAGTAGTTTATACCAAGTTGCATTCCAGCCAAAAGTTAAGATACGTGCAAATATTTAATAAAATCACTTGTGATTCTAACCAACTTATAACAAATAGCTTGGGACAGAATGGAAAGTTTTAAAAGCAAATACCTCTCTGCGTAGAAGTCCGGGGGAAATGGTTATTTGAAAGCTATAAAAACCGACTAAAAGAAAAAAAAAGCAAACGAAAAAGACATATTTGGAAAGCAACCTGTTCAAGACAACAAGCCAAATCAAAGCAGGGTTTCCAAGAAACTCGCAAGAACGGGAGATAGAGAATACAAAAAAACTACTACTAGATAATCCAGGTACCTCAATAGCACTGTCACACCAGTTCATCTGATCATCCACCAGCTTGATGCTATGTTTCATCTTCTCCGGGGCTAACAACTTTGCCTGGCCAACTACAGCTAGAAAAATCAGCAGGTGACACTTTAATCCACAGCAATGTATTGTAATATTATATCACCCATTCACTCCCCTGTTGGTTCGTTAAGTCCAGATCAAGGGCCAGCAGCCTTTAATTAAGTCCAGATCAAGAGGCAGGTCTAAACCATGCGAAGACATACCATGCCTGCCCCTGCACTGCCAGGGACAGAGGCTCCTTATCAGCTGCCACAGATACAATGCTTTCCTCCAAAGAAGTTCTGCCTTTTGGTCCAGACTTACGGTCCATAATGCCGCCGGATGCAGCCGAGCCCATGCCCCGATTCTGGATCTGATAGACCGGCTGGGTGGGACGCTGGCCTTCCTTCTCCACCTTGGCCACAGCTGCAGGGGGCTGAGCAGACACCTCTGTGGTTCCAGCAGGGCCTTTGCCTTCCTCTCGGGACTTCATCAGCACAATGGGCTTTTCCATGGCAGGAGCAGCAGGAGGTGCTGGGACAGGGGTAGCGGCTGGAGCCACCTTGGACTGTGAAGACAAGCAAGCCAAGATTCCAAAATCCCTCTCAGCTGTATAGAGCTCTCTTTCTTCAGAGCTATGTCCCACTGACTTCCCCTGGAGGGAAGCCATCTGTTTATCAGATGGATTTTTTTTTAATTTCTTTTTTTAACTGTTTTTTTTACAGCTTTCAAATAACTTTTTTCCTACTTTCAATGGCTTCTTCGCTATGGGATGCCTAAAAAATTGGATCAGGCAAGAGAGCATTCCTGCTGTAGGCATTTTTCCGGTTCTGTGTTCCCTCATTCCCTCTGGAGGGAAAATATCCCATTAATAATATGAAATAAGAAAGACGGGGATATGTAGGAAGAAAACAGAGTACCCTTCTCAATTGGTCTCTTCCAAACATTAAAGTGGCAAGAAAATGTATTTAATAAATTAATATAGTCACCCAATTTAAACAATTGTGACTTTGGGCAATATAAATCAATCAATCTAGCAATTTCAGGTAGTCCTTAGCTTACATCCAGTTGCTTAGCAAACATTTGAAGTTATGACAGACCCTGAAAAAGCTATGTACAACCCAGATTTGAAGTTCCAAAGACCAGCAGTCACATGACCATAATTTACAATATTTTTGCCAGAAACTGGCGTTTACTTTAAGTTTCCAGCAAAAAAAAAACCACCCTATAGCAAAGAATGGGTTCATTTAACAACCACAGCATTCACTTAACGATGGTGGTAGTATCAGGTGACTCACTTAAGAACCATCACAACTTAAAACTGAAATTTGGGCTCAAGGAAAGTTATCAGTCGAGGACTATCTATCTATGATTTTAAAAAAATCAATACAGGTAAACAAGAAAAATCAATAGGTGGTCAGAAATCCAAACTTCCATACACTCATTCAGGCGTAGAAGTTAAATCTACTTGGCCCCAATGCCTGAGAGAAAAATTAGCAGCTAAATAAGATTGTATGGTTATCCTTGAGTGAAGAAACCTCCACTGGAGAACTCTGGACTCCAAATGATTTATCAGGTATTATAAAACCTAAAAGTGGTGTCAGGATTCCAGCAGTTACCCCAATTAAATCATGAGTCTCGAGCCAATCTTCCAAAACTTCAAAAAGATTTATTGAGAGTTAACATGTCCGGCCCTGCCTGGGTGTATCATAATTCATATTCTCCAATAAGACACATCCACAGCCAAGAGTCATCAATCATGTTCTCCAGTTAGAATTTTGCACGGCAGAAACTTCAGTCACCTAGTTACTATATTTGAAAAGCTACTTATGGAATGCACGTTTGCTTACCAAGCTGCCGCATTGCTCTTTCAAACCCCTTTCCCCCCTCCCTTTCTGTTGGCAACTCTAAAAAGACCATAGAAATATTTTATGGGTTGACAAGTGGTGGGTCATGTTCTCCTACCTACCCTCTCTGCCGGAGGTTTGGCCAGAATGATGGGTGTCTTCTGCATCACTGTCCCCACTGGTTCATCCATTGGTTCCTACAATGAAATCAGGGTCAGACTTAAGGTGGATCCCTGCCCTCATGGCCATCCCAACCGAAGTGTGGACTTTTACCCGTCGGTCTCGATCTCGGTCTCGATCCCGGTCCCAGGGGACATAGTCACGCTCTCGCCCTGGTCCAGACAGGCTTTGGTGACCCAGTTCCTTCTCCCGGTTCCAGCGACGGCGTCGTTCATACAATCCAGGTTGACTGTGCCCCGACTCCGACATCCGGCAATGGGATCTGGGAAGAGAACAAGAAAGTCCCATCTGAATTCTGAACGATTACATGAGTGAAGAAACATATGATCTGACCTTAGAAGACCTCAAGGAGGAAAAATCATTGAAACCATAAAAAAGTGGAAGTTAGACTATTTTGGACATGGGATGTGACACCCGGAAAAATACGGCATCCTTCAGTTAATCCTCCAGGGAAAGATGGAAGGCAAATGAGGTCCAGACAGCAGAAGAATATTGTGGCTTCAAAATCAAAGGGGATGGTTTTGGACAAAACTCAGCAGCACTTTTTCATGCGGCTAAATTGATAAAAATAGGATCACTGACATGATCGCCAATGTCCGATGTGACACAATAATAATAATAATAATAATAATAATAATAATAATAATAATAATAATAATAATAATAATAATAACAACAATAATAACAACAATAACAACAATAACAATAATAATAATGGAGAAACATCATCTGAAAGTATCAGGACGCTTTGAATATGAGGACCAAAGGCAAAGCGTAATCTTGGAAGCACTGGGTGTATAGGATTGGGGATGCAGGCTGAAGATACACACCTCTACTACTATTCATTAGGGGTGGAATTGCCTGAGCCCTCAAAGAGCAACACAGGTAGTCCTTATTTAGCAACTGCTTTGTTTAGCAACCATTCACAGTCATGACTGAAATGGAAAAGCAACTTTGTGGCCAATGCTCATATTTAGGATCTTTGAGGGAAAGCAAAGGAAAACCAAGTCAGATAGGAAGCAGTCACGGTTTCACTCAGTGACCACTTAATAACCAAGTTTCCAGTCCCAATTATGTCACTAAATGTGGACTACTTTTTACATGGCATTCATGTATGTGAAGGTCAGACTTTTCCCTAGACTCCAAAAATGTAAATCAGACTGGGGAGACCGGGTGAGCTTAGCTGTGAGTTATAGATTTTTTTTTTTACTTTAATGTCTTATTCTTCCTATTCTATTGTGTGTTTGACCCATAAGGGATGGAGGAAGAAATACCATCTTTAAGGCAGTTTATAATTCTGAAATAATATGCTGCAGAGAGAATAAGAGAGAACATGCAATGTCCCCTACATTTTTGTTATTACAGGGTTGTTTTTTTATTGTTTTTGCTGGTTGTTCTTGGATTGTGTTGTTTAGCTTTGTGTTTTAATTGCGTTATGCTGCCCAATGTTACATGCATGGGGTGGACAGCTATATAATTTCAATAACTACATAAACAAATATAAGTGATCTAAATAAGGCAGAACATATTGGGGAAGCAGAATGCAAGCAACAAATACTACTGAGCATGTGCAAAGTGCTGCAGTTCTGACGAACCATCACAGAGCATCCAAAGTTTGGGATTAAAAAAGCACAATTTCTAGGGAGAGATGGGCCTATAATAATTGGCGGAGAGATACACTCCCAGCGAAGTCAGATGTAGTTGCTAAGCAACCGTCCGTGGACGGATACGAGAGAAAGAAGACAGCCGCCGGAACTATGTATCTCTCGCGGAAGGATAACGATCGCTTTTTTTCAACGTTCGCGGAAGAATATTGGCGCACTGAAGCGGGAACTACCTATTCTCAGTCCCTCAAAGCAATACCTGATCAGCGGAGTCTCGAAAGCCGATAAGAACCTCGCTTATGGAAGAAGCACTCCGGCCCAGCGTCACGTAAAGCAGAAGGTAGCGTCAATGGGGGAAAAGCTCGTTGCGAGGCAGTTGGGATTAGTGATGTGCGGTCACGGAAGAAGCAGGGAAAGAACCTCGTCGGCCACCGTTGTTTGAGGTAGCGCGCAGGCGCAGGAAGTCATCATTCGTCCCGAGCTAGAGCACCGTTTGCTTTGACTTTGCGCATGCTCCCTCTCCACGTCAAACCTCTGTATGTTGGTTGGGTGGTCGTCAGCGGTTAGTCGTCGCGGCAGTTCGCGCACGTGCGCATGCGCCAAAGCCTACAATGTATGAGCCTAGAGAGGCTTAGAGCGGGAGGGGCGTGTCTTGAAACTGGAATCTATTGGGTGGATTTGAGACAGCCTTAGTATTATATAGCGCCACATAGTGGTGGAGGCGGGAAATTAACGATAGCCCTTGACTACCATCTCCATTGGTTTGGGGCTGAGGACGATGGTATTTGTTGTGCAGCAAAGAACGTTTCAGTTTTTCTGCCTCCTCCGCCAAGGAGTTCATGGTTATGAGTAACTAAAGACCATGAAGAGAAGTTTAAGTTTTATATAGTTAAATAATATAAAACGTAGTCCAGGCTCTCAAATCTGGGCTGCACAAATCCAGACATGGCAGCAAAATGACAAATATAACTTTTGCACCTTAAAAATCCCAGCCGGATTTTTACGACTCTGATCCGTTAACCGTCTTCTGTTCCAAAGCAATGCATGCTGCTTCCAAAGTGAAACGCCTTGACTTCAGTACCATGCGGTGGAAAGGGGAGGCGAGCGGTCTCTCGCGATTGCAAAATCCAGTGTATTCTAATACTGTGGAGATCCTGTTTTTTTCAACCTTGGCCCTTTTTAAAAAGTTGGATGGATTTCAATTCCCAGATTTTCTAGATCGGGAATTTGGGGAGTTGAAGCGCCCGCCCCTCTTAAAAGTTGCCAAGACTTGATGGCGGATAATTGCAGATAATTGTGTAAAGATAAGATCGAATAGAATAGAGCTGGAAGAGACCTTGGAGGTCTTCTAGTCCAGCCCACTGCTGAAGCAGATCTGGACTCCCAATCCTTGCAAATGAAGAACGTCCTGCAGGAATTCGGTTTCTGGAACAGGCTTGCTGCGTTGGTAGCAAAGCCACCCCTCAGCCAGGGAAACTCCTTGGGATCCACAGCCTAGCCTACCTTACAGGGTTATTAAGAAGAGGGGGTAGAAAAACCGCATGCTTCAGCTCTGAGCCACCTCCAAGAACAATGCCCCGAACGCCCTTTAGCCAAGGACCTCTGCCTGTTGGGAAATGACAGCAACCAGTTCCAGGCACAAAAACCAGCTGGGTGACCTTGGGGCCAGCCTCATTTTTCTCCACCCTTAGGAAGCAAAAGCAATAACAAAAACCACACCCAAAATCTTGCAAAAAAAAAAAAAGCAACTGCACGGACTTGTGATCCATCCTTCCATCCGAGCTCGGCTTATTCTGTAAAACTGCAGCGGAACGCCCGAATCCCTAACTTGCAAACAGCAGCCAAGGAAGGAAGGAATCTGGAAGGCTGGACTACAACTTCCGGCAACCTTTGCTCCTCTCCGCATGCGCGGTCCGTTCCGCTCCCGGGCTTGGAAGCGCCGCCGCCACCACCGCCGCGGCGCTGCGGGAGGCGGGGGTGGCCGCGGGGGGCGCGGGCGCGGGTGGGCGGGGGGGGGGGGGCAGGCCGGTGCAGGGTCGAGGTTGGGGGGGAGGGGTCCTCTGGCCGGGGGCCCCCCGCCGAGCATCATGCGGGGCTGGCCGGGAGTTGCTGCTGCTGCTGCTGCTGTTCGGCCTGCCGGATCGAAGTAGGAGGCAAGTTCGCAGCCAGCCGCGTGCGGGTTTCGCCTTTGCAGAGGGAGGGAGGGGCCCCCGGGATGGGGGCTGGGAGGGAGAAGAGAAGGAGGAGGCCTCATTCTGCAAAGGGAATAGGGGGTGGAGTGGGGGGGGGGCCTGGAACCCTCCCCCCCTCCCCCCCCCCCCCCCCCCCCCCCCACTCCCTGGGGACTTGCAGGATTGCAATCGAGGGGGAAGCCTGGGAGTTGGGTACCCGGAGGGCGCCCGGTTGGGGGAAGGAAAATGGGAAAGGTGGGATTATATATGGGTTAGGGGGGGTCAGGAGGTGGCTCCGGTTGTTTGTCAGGCCCGTTGTTGTGGCTAAAAAAAATAAGCATTTCACGAATGAAAGGGAGGTGGGGTGTCCAACCCACGGTTTGCAAGCAGGTCCCTTTTTATAGGTGTGATTTTCCCCCTACACACACACTATGGGCACAAACCGGGAGGGGGCTGCAGAGTCGAAGAAAGTCCCAAGCTGCCTCTTAAGAAAGCACCTCCAGAACAGCATCCAAATGGCAATAGCACTTAGACTTATTATACTGCTTCACGGTGCTTTCACAGTCCTCTCTAAACGGTTTAGAGAGTCAGCCTCTTGCCCCCAACAATCTGGGTCCTCATTTTACCCACCTTGGAAGGATGGAAGGCCGAGTCAACCTTGAGCCGATCAGGATCGAACTGCTGGCAGTCAGCAGAATTAGCCTGCAGTTTTGCTTTATAACCACTGCAGTGCTAGGAAGGGAAGGAGGGAGGAAAGAAAAGAAAGAAAGAAAGAAAGAAAGAAAGAAAGAAAGAAAGAAAGAGGCAGGTAGGAAGGAATAGCAATAGCATTTATATTTATATACCGCTTTATAATTCTTTACAGCCCTCTCTAAGCAGCTTGCAGAGTCAGCCTATTGCCCCCAACAGTCTGGATCCTCATTTTACCCACCTCGGAAGGATGGAAGGCTAAATCAACCTGGAGCAGGTTAGGATCGAAACTGCCAAATTGCGGGGGACCGGCAGTACTGCTTTCTACCCTTGGTTATTCATAGGGACTTGGGGGGGGGGGGCATCCATCATAACTTTGAACTGTCCCTTAAGCGAGCAGACATTAAGCAAGGACTACCTGGACTCCTGGAGTCTCAATTGCCAAGGAAAAAGATCGCACCAGAGGGTTTCTCCTTCTCTTTTTCAGGACACGATGGATTTGGTGACAGGGATGGATGTTGGCGCCGAAATCGAAGTGAACGAATATGGAGACCTGGATGAATTGCCTCTGCGTTTGGTAGGGAGCAGGCACTATCGTCCACTTTTCAATATGGAATCGGGGGATACCTGAAAGGTGGTTTCTAGAAGCTCTCTGACCAGATGGTTTATGGAGTGCCATGCAGGCAATTACTACATCAGAATTTTTGGGAAGGCGGAAACACGGTCACAAATCAGATATCCAGCTCTTGCTTATCAGTGGAGACCGAGTGGAGCAAGTGGCCAGTTTTAAGTTTCTGGATGTTACCATAAAAGAGGAGCTGACTTGGGGTGCCCACATTGCAACCCTGGTCAGAAGGGCCCAGCAGAGATTATACTACCTGAGACTTCTTAGGAAATAACAACTGAATGAAAAACTGCTGGTGACCTTCTACCACTGGACCAAAGAAGAGTACCTTAATTTATTGCACCTGTGTTTGGTTTGCCACTTGCACAGTGGCAGATAGGACAGCACTCCAGAGGGTTAACGTCATTGCCCAGAGGATCATGGGTTGCCCTCTTCCCCTCTTTGGAAGAGCTTTATAGCTCCCGCTGCCTTAAGAAAGTTCAAAACACTCTCTAAGATCCATCTCATCCTGGGTGCCACTTTTTTTGAACTATTACCATCTGGCAGACAGTACAGGATAATAAAAACAAGGACAAACAGGCTGAAAAACAGCTTCTATCCCAGGGCAGTAGCTCTGTTGAATTCTACTGTATAGCGCAGTGTTGGTGTGGTGTCAGGGTTTTCAATTCAATGTGGAGTGTGAAGGATGTGTGTTTGGGTTTATTTTCATGGTCATGATGTGCACTGAAGATGGTGTTTGATTTCGTTGTACGAGGTGCAATGACAATAAACTAAACTAAACCTAGTACAGGGGTCTCCAACCTTGGCGACTTTAAGACTTGTGGATTTCAACTCCCAGAATTCCTCAAGAGCTTTACTCCTCCTCCTGAGGAGGAGCAAAACTGGCTGAGGAATTCTGGGAGTTGAAGTCCACAAATCTTAAAGTTGCCAAGGTTGGACACCTCTGACCTAGTATCCCTTTTGAAGTTTCCGGAAAACCTCTCCTAATTTGGGGACCTTCTTTTTGTTTCCTAGTTTGTGGGTTATTGTTGGAGATGATGGTACCAAAAAAAAACCCAAAAGGGTGCCTTAAGTCTTGCAAAATGCTTAACGTACCAATTTTACCTCTTAAAAAACTCCTGAACCCTCACACAGAACAGGCCCAAGTCTCTTTGTTGTGGAGCGTAGTCCCAGAAAAACAAAATTAAATCTGGGAGAGCGATTGTTCAGATTTCAATTTAGGGGTGAATTTGGCCAGGAACCCGAAGGCTGGGGTCCAAATGCCGTTGCTTGGTGCCAAAGATCATGGAAGGCCCCCATCAGCAAGGTTTTGTGGTCAGGAATAGTAATAATATAATCCAAACTTCTGAAGAGGATTTTAATACATGCATCTGGATTAGAGAAGGTAATTGTCTTGATCTTGGATACAGATGCGATGTGCTCTGCCTGTGTCGGGCTGGGTGGATAATCTGCGGCCTCTAATTTTTGCCGTCTTTGGAGCCTTCAGTAACTACCGCAGTGGTTGAAAACTGGAGGTGTCATTTTCTGCCCTTTAGAGATTCAGAACAGGAAAAAAAAAAAAAAAGCTGTACTAAAAGTCCTAAAATCAACATTTTAAAAATGACCCCAGCTAGACCGAGATAGGAGGCTGAACTAGATGACCTGTCAGGTCCCTTTTAGCTTATACGTCCTGTGATTCTTTCCACCCCCAGGAAAACATCCAGAATTGCCTCTGCCTGGAATCCGTGGATGTCTCCAGCAGCGACGACGATGGGGAATCCCAACTGACCTTCTTCTTGCCCGTCAGGCGGCCGCCGCGCCCCTACCAGCGCCGTTCGATCCACCGCCCCACCGCCCCGGCGAAGCTCTCCGCTTCCGAGAAATGGATCCCTCCCTTGTTCTCCTGCCCTTTGCGGCCCGGAGGTCCTC